GAAATTTAACGTGTGGGGTGGCATATCTGTGTTAGGGGCAACGCCCCTCTGTGTATTTGAAGGGAATATGAACAGTGAGCGGTACACAGATATTCTCGAGGGACATTTACTTCCATTTGCTCACGTGTTCTATGGAAATGTTTGGATTTACCAGCAGGACAACGACCCAAAACATCGTTCAAAGCATTCACAGGCCTGGTTTCGGACCCAAAATATGACATTATTAGATTGGCCAAGCTATAGCCCTGACCTAAATCCAATAGAAAATGTTTGGGGACTTATGAAGGAAAGTGTCAATAAGAAAAATCTGACAAATATTGCTGAAATGAAAGAAGAGGTGGTCCGATATTGGGACAGCATGGACCACGACTTTCTAACTTCTTTGATCAGTAGTATGCCCCGCCGCATTGAAGCCTGCATTGCTGCCCATGGTGACTTGACAAAGTACTAACTGTTCACCTGTCTTTGAATCTGGAGTTATGTTCTGCTAATATTCACATTTAATATGTGAGTAATGAGTGAATTTTTAAAAATAAATTACAATCTTAAATTCTCAATAATTTCTGGTTGTACTGTATTTACCACTTTAGTGACATCAGGTATAGTTCAGACAAAGCATTTTATTCGAGGTGGGTAGTATTCGAACCGCATCCAGCAGATCACGACAGGACCAAAGGGAGGCAACTTGTGACTTCTTGCATGGGTGTAGTGATACACATACCTCGCTGTTTGTACACATAAAGAACTTCATTGAGCACCCCTGGATGTTTGCAATGATAGGTTTTCAACACGTACATTAAATGTTTCGTGGTGACCCGTATATATGATCCGTTGACTCATAAAAAATGGGGGCGGTGGGGTAGCCTAGTGGTTAAAGCGTTGGCTCGTCACGCCGAAGACCCGGGTTCGATTCCCCACATGGGCACAATGTGTTAAGCTCATTTCTGGTGACCCCGCCGTGATATTGCTGGAATATTGCTAAAAGCGGCGTAAAACTAAACTCAGTCAGTCAGTCAGTCATAAAAAATGACAAAATGATTGGAACCTCCATGTCAGAGCCAGCACCCTCCTCCTCATACCCCCTGTCAGCTTCCTGATCCTATACAGGGACAGTCTACACCATTCTTGGTGTAAAACAGCTTCCAATCTGTACAGGAGGATCCCTTTGTTGCACACGACGACCAATCATGTCCCAGATGTGGTCAAAAGGGTTGAATCGGGGGTCATTCAGTCGTGACATATGTCAGGGGTGCTTAATTAAGTTCTTTGTGTATAGTTCAAATAACACACATACAGCATCCTCAATGGTGTCCTCCCATTTGTGAGAACTCCCAGTTGTGAGACACATTAATTAATGGTTCAGTGCACACAGGTGGTGCTTCCCCATCCCTACGATGAAAGTGGGAACAGCCCTGTTGCTGAAGAGTACCCGCAGGAGGCATAGTTCATTAATGAGTTAATTAACACAGAAGACATTGTTCGTTGAAGAGCATTTATTGTTTTCAATAGATACTGAAATACTGAAAAAGATTATCGTGAACTGGTGATATATTCTACTTGTTGAAAGCCTGCCATAATGGTGATCGGAAAGAGCAGTCAAAGGTTAATAAATACATTTGGATTAATTATAGTTACAACAGTTATTGCTAGATATTTCAAACACGTAAATCTGAGTAGGTAAATTAATTTCTCTTTCAAATTACCTACACAAAATGTTTATTTTTTAAAGCCATTTATCTGAGTAGGTTAATTACTTTATCTTTTAGAGTTTCATTAAGTTACCTCCACAAGATTCAGTTAAATAGCTAATCCATAATTAGCTGGGGTTAATCCATTCTATCAGAGAGGGGAGTAAGGTGTGTTTTCTTTGCTAAGTACCTACTCCGCTGTCTCACAACTGGGAGTTCTCACAAATGGGACTAGACCTCCTCAATTATGCAGCGTATGTCTCCTTTCTAATTTGATGCTCTGGACCCATCCAGTACCATACTGCACCAACAACCAATCAAAATGACCATTCTTAACGCGAGTTCGGCACAGATCAACATGCAAAATAACGGCGTTGTTCGAACGACTCAACGATTTATCTTGTCGAAACAGAGCATGGAATCAGGTTTAACTGAATACTAAGACTAATATTGCCTTTTGTTTCAATCTTGCATGAACAGTATATGATGTGATTGGATGTCTATCTTTAAGCGTTGCGTAATACGAAACAATGATTCTGTGCCGAATGGGTCGTTATATTTACTATGATGTATATGAAATGTTATATACAAGGTAATCAAACATTGGTTGAGTGATTGTAATGAACCGCCGTAAAAAATGAAAATAGTTTCATCATGACGACCTGGAAATAGTCGAAGCTTTACTTGAAAAAGTGTGGTTAATATCATAATGCCGTCAGTGTATGAGAACACATTGACGACACCCTCAGTAAGTTCAGCCATTGTGAGCACCTGTCCCACTTTTCTGATGCCTTTTCGACAGTCTATGCTTTTATGAAAAGAACTGTATCTATAGTAGGCATACAATCCAGTAGGCTACTTCATATATAGGACGAGATATGAATTACGCCCTCCTCTGCTAGCAAAATAGAGAACCACATTCGCCGTTGATTGCACCGAACGTAATTTTCCTTGATATAACGCATTCTAATATACATCAATCTCGATGTGAAGTTATTGAATGTGAAGATGTCTTTCGTTTCCCGGTTAACGGGTTGAATTTCATTTTAGCAACTAATTTGCATAATTGAGCAATCCACTATACTCCATTGCAAGGATAGCTTGGAACCACATGAAAGGAAAAATAATGGATGATCTGACATATAATGGCATACCAGTGTACATTTATCTATTCATGGGTTAAACATCTCATATCTTTAATCTTCAACATAGTATGCATGGCTGAATCAGCGTATATTGGTTACCACTGAGTGACAGACCTTCAACGCTACAGGAAAATGTCAATGATACAGAAATCGTAAACGGTGCTCCAGGTGTGAAAATACTGACACCTTCCGAGACTAATAATCCGGGGATACTTTGTCCTTTCAAAACCGAGCAAGACGAGCGGAAATACTAACGCACTTCATGGTACGTCCGTCTGGTGTTCCATTACAATTCCTCATGTAAATATCTGAGTTCCTACATATGAATATATCCCCAGTCTCCACGTCATGACCCGTGAACATTGATCTTCAGTAACCCATGCTTGTCATAAGAGGCGACAAACGGAATCGGGTCGTCAGGCTCCCCGACTTGGTTGATGCAAGTCATCGTATCCTAATTGCGTAGATCGATGCTCATACTGTTGATCACTGGATTGTCTGGTACAGACTCGATTATTTACAGACCGCCGAGTGCTGCGTAAAAGCAAACTCACTCACTCCATGTTACTATTCTTGATTGTACTGGTTATAATTAATTCATTTCTAATAAATACGATTCCACAAGACACAACCCTGACTACTACCACTACCACGTTGGCAGCCAATGTAGCAGCGATAGAATGTCCAGTCTGTGCTGGGCTTCGAACCTTATGCTACACCTAATGTTGAATAGCACCTGAAGGGGGTTGTGGTGCACCTAATGGTTACCTTGTTGCAGTGAGTGAGTGAGATGAGTCTTACGCAGCGCTCAGCAATATTCCAGCTATTTGGCGACGGTCTAGTCTGGACCAGACAATCCAGTGATCAACAGCATGAGCATCGATCTGCGCAATTGGGAACCGATGACATGTGTCAACCAAGTCAGTGAGCTAACCACCCGATCCCATTAGTCGCCTCTTACAACAAGCATGGGTTACTGAAGATCAATATTCTAACCTGGACCTTCAGGGTATTACCTTGTTGCACCTGAAGGGTTGTGATGCACCTAGTGGTCACTTTGTTGCACCAAAGGGTGGTATGTTGCATGAAGCTTTTGTTGTACCTTGTAGCTGGTTTGTTGCTCAATCATGATGTTTTTGCTGCACCCAAGTCTTGCACCATGTCTTGTTGCATCAAGTGGAGGCTTTTTTGCCACCATATACATGTAGTTGTCATGTTGCTATGATGTTGCCTTGCAGCATCAAGTGGAGGCTGTTTTGCACCCATATGGTTGCCATGTTGCTATGATGTTGCACATGGTAATGACGTATTTGCATCTGTAGGGAAGCTGTGCTATGACTGAAGTTAGGACATTTTGGTTTACACAATTTGGTTTATTTAGTATGATTGCTAGTTACTTTGGACAGAAGTGGAGATCCTACCCTGAAACATATATGCAAATGTGTCTTAAAATTAATAGTAATATAATGCTGTGGTAATGATAAGTTATCTATGTTAAATAAGCAGCAGTCCTGGCGTGCCAGTGATGATGCTGATAATGTGAAGCAATTGATCAATGGTACTTGAGCACAAGTGATCTGCATCATTTTGTTTGTTCGTTGTTTAACACTGTACTCGGCAATAATTGAGTCTGGACCAGATAATTCAGTGATTGACATCATGAGCATCGTTTCACAAAGGGATACAAAGACACTAGGGCTGGGATGGGTCCAGATTTTCTACCCGGGTACCCCACCCCCTATTACCCTACCTTACCCGGATAATTTCTTCAGCTTGGAGGTTAATATTTCGAGTTTTTCAATGTCTTAACCATGTATAATATTCAAAAGAAGTGACTGTAATTATGTCTAAATCTTTAAAGACAATACAACATTTTAATCCTGAAAGAATAACATTTAACATAGTTTAATCTATTAGTCACATGATCATAACGGGGTTGGTTATTAAGACGGGTACGGCGGGTCCAACTCATTACCCAGCCGTCCCGGGTATCCGGGTTACCGGTCCCAGCCCTAAATGACAGTGTCAACCAGGTCAGCAAGCCTGACCACCTGATCCTGTTAGTCGCATTCTGTGACGGGCATGGGTTGTTGAAGACCCAAATCGTCATGGATACCATGACAATAAGCACATAATGTTCCAGTAGAGAGACAACAAAAGAGTTTCAATATCTTTATAAAACATGACTGTACAAGCCGTGTCTTTATCCATCTGGTGACTTGATTGAGAACACTCTTGCTGTATGATCCTCACAAACGGTCAACAACTTGTCACCATCCCTGGAAATAGACAACAATCAGTCACAGAACATGGTACATCATTATGATCACCTAGTTTGAGCACAAATAACACAATTCTTGTCTTTTAGCAGCATTTAGAAGTTGTATATGGATGTCCTAGATATTCTAGTATCCTTTATGGAGGTTATAAACTTGATTATTCATTAGTTTTTAAAACTAACAACATGAGGGATCGGGACCATTACAGATCCCTTCATCAGGTGAACTGACAGATGAAGGGATCTGTAACACTATTCAAACGCTTTGAGCGGAAATAAAAAGAAGTTTAATCCATAAAAAATATCTTGGACAACACAATTCTTTATAACAGAAATAACACAAAATATCATAACAGAAGAGTCAGTTGTGCTTTATCAAAAATTGATTTTCCTCCATGACTTAAAATGATGACAGAAAGGTCACACACACTTAAAGACATGGGGGCATAACTCCGCTATGCTTACAACTGGGTCATTGTCACATGGAGAGAATTTAGCTGTGGATAAGGACACTATATTTTCATGGGTCTTTGTTCATAACAAGATATTGATCAACACTTAGCAGTGTCTATTTCTCAAACCGCCTAAGTATTTGCGCTTGAATTTATACCATCGGATAGAAAATACAACATTCTACATTTCTGTGTAATCTTATAGCTGTAGGTAGATTCAGTGCTGCATGAGCAAAATTGTCGCACAATGTTCACAACATCTATTTCACATTCATGCTAAACTGTTTCTCTTTGTAAAAGATGCTGCTTCTTCTGTACAAGGGGTGGTGGGGTAGCCAAGTGGTTAAAGTGTTCACTTGTCATGCCACAGGTCTAGGTTTGATTTCCCACATAAGTACAACGTGTGAAGCACATTGGTGGTGTTCATTGCTGTGATATTGCTAGACTATTGCTAACAGCAGCATACAACCATACTCACTCACTCTTCTTTATTTATCAAGAATATTTCTATGACATATGGGTGTTTATCATACTGGTCTTATGAAACTGTGCTTGAGAAAACACAACATTCTCATGCTCGTTTTATACAATCTGCATGCTATACAAACTAATTTAACAGTACAACTCACTCTGTGATATCAAAGTCCAGTATGGCAGCCGAGTGCCCCCGTCCAGCGGGTCTCCTCCTTGCCACTGCGAGCATCCCACATGCTCACCACTCCGTCCAGACTTGCTGTGTACACCAGTGGGGACGTCTCATCCCACTTCAGCTTCACGATACCATCCTGTACAACACCACAGGACAACAGGTATTTATGTCAAGGAAATTGTGTAATTGTGTTATTGCATATATCCCCACACACATACAGTGAAAGCTGTCTAAACCGGCACTCGTCGGGACTGAAGAAATAATCCGGTTTAGACAGCATGCTGGAGCTGACACGGTTACCTACGACTAGAACTGAATGAGTTATGTCACTTTCACATACATTGCTGGATCACGTGGTTATCTCAATTACTGCAAACATTGACAATAAAAGACAAAGATTTCAGCTCATATTCACTTATTTTACATCCCTCATGAGTGACAATTTTCACTAATTATATGTACAACTATAGCCATACTGAACTAAGATTAAATTATCTTTGTCGGCAACCATGTAGTGTCAGCGAAGGATTAATTGGTGACAATACACATCCGCCGACTCCTCGCTATGTGTCAGATTAGACAGCGCTGATTACTATATAAACACATATTCGGGCGGCTCATTTCATGCCGAGATCCAGAATTGACAGCTGCCGGTTTGCAGAGCTTGTAAATGAAGATAAATGTACTAGCCATGGATAGGACTGAGATTTTGTGCCGGTGTTGACAACTTGCCGGATTGCACAGTTGCTGGTTTTGACAGACTTCACTGTACCTCCCGTAATAATGGGGCAGAAAAGGTGTGAGCAAATAGGACTGGATCAGCTTATACAATTTCAATGGTTAGACATATTTTTGTCTCTATGTAGCTGAAATTCTTAAGTTAAAAGCAAACTGTACGCGACCAATTATCAGCCCCCTGCAGGTGTCTGTGAAATAGGAAAGTATCTAGCTCAATCAGAAACCTCCACAAAGATATCAGTCAGCAGATTGTAGGCATATTCCAAGTATTAAACAATGAGCTGTGATGATCAATAAAAGCTTCTACTCACACCATGGACACACTGGTGTCTGACGACGTGTGTGGAGATATCCCAGATGCTCATTACTCCGCCCAGTGTTCCTGTTGCTGCGTAGTTCAACCTGAAACATACACAGAGTTGCCTTTATGAGTTATATCACATGATGATTTTCGCCTTGATGGAATAAGATCAGATTTACACTTGGAGTGATATTTGTTTTTCTTCAAAATCCTATAATCAACTAATTCATTCTACCCACATAAGGAACTGAATCCGGGTCTTCAGCTCGACAAGCAAATGATTTAACCATTTGGCTACCTCACAGACCCTTTTCATTCATGATATGTTCTCTCTGCAATCAAATATTTTGTTGTCTAAACATAACATAGTTGCATGTATTGCCATACTGTTGCCTGCCGTCCTCAAACGGTCAGGGTGCCGTTCCACTAACCGATCTTAGCTCCTGCGCCAATCGTAAACCCCTATGATCCCAATCAGAGTGTGACGTTGTGATTGGCATACCTTTTCACTAACCGATCTTACCCAAGTCAATCGTTTAGTTAAAATCAAAAGTCCAAGTTGCTCACGACCAACTTATGATTGCTAAAATCAAACGTAGAGAACCAACATGGCGGCTTTCGTTATTCTATGTGAAGAAGAAGAGCAGGCATTCCATCGTGAGCGTGTTTTTCGAGACCGCTCACAGATACCAGATACATTATCTGATGATGTGCTTGTGGCGAGGTACTAAATGCCTTGTCTTGCTTTGTTTATGCTGATCGACAAGGTTCAGCCACATATTATGCCAGATACTAGTGCCCAGCGTTCACACGCACTTGCCCCTGAAACCAAGGTGCTCAAGGTGATTTCTCCTTGAAGGGTGGATTTTTTACATTTGGTTCCAAACTAAATGTACTTCCATTGTCTGTATAGATTATACAAAGGGAGATAACTCGTGCCTCACACTTTTCTATCTCTTGCACGAAAGAATCTTGATCTCAGCTAGGATTGGATCGTAAGATCAGGACCAGCTACATTCAGCCTTAGATCGGTTAGTGGAATGAGCATAACTTCTAGCTAGGACGATTGTAAAATTGGCATAACTTGCTTAGACTGATCTTAGATAAGATCGGTTAGTGGAACGGCACCCAGGTGCCTGGCTTTAATACAATATTACATTTGATTGACAGTTTTACAGGTCATAGTTTAAAACACAGGTTTTCAATGCACATTACACAACCCCTCATTAAATTGCTGCAGATGTGTAAACAATAACCAGCATCCACCTCTGATGTAAGGTGTGCTTGTAAATTGGGCTTAACTTTTACATGAACAAATACTTAAGGGACATTAGCATAAAATTGTCTGTAGGAGCACAAGACTTCAGCTGGAGTTGATACTTACACACCAGACAACCCAACACTTTCCACTGAATTTTCATCATCAGCTGATCCAATACGATGACTAGAACAGTCATAGGTAGATATCACCTGAAACCACAGACTTTTGTTACTATGGAAGCATTCTTGCTTGTCTGTTATTATCAGATGATTTATACAATCCAATAAGTATCTTGACGATATTGTTACAATACATTTGCAACACATATTAAGGTGACACTTGTCATGTCAAAGCGACACATTGCATCCTAACAGTAATATAGCAATGGTTCAGACAAAACATTTTAGTACACCTGCTTCAAGGAGACTAACCAGGAAATGAGAATGTGTGTACATATAATAAAACAGCATTGTTACTATTAATTTTTTGTACCATTATAGTAGATACCCTCTTGTATCACTGTTTTATGTTGATAAGAGCTTTTTTTTGCAATATGATGCAGTTTGGCATAAAGTATCTTCCACATGTTGAAGCACTGCTCATAAATGTAATTTTTAAGTAAAATTGATATTTTATACTTATCCTGACTCTATGTGAAGGGTAGTTGAACACTTGAATCCTTTGTAGTTCCCTAAAGCGGACGTAAAAGTACACTCACCCACGAGTTACCTCCCTTTCCCGCGCAAACATGTGTGACCTCTTGTGAGCCTTACTTGTCACTCTCTCCTGCATTTATCTGCCCATGTACCAGGATCTACTGTGAAATCCAAAGTGTTTCCAGCGGGGAGGTTGGGAGGGTTTCTCCTCATGAGTCAGGATAAGTATACAATATCAATTTTACTTTAACAAATTACATATTTTTCCTTATCCTGACTCAGGATCATTGCTTATAGAATCCTTCGGATTGGTGGTGGGTCAAGCCACTTCCTGGATTCATCAGCTGTCTTTAAATACGTCCTGTATCCCCCCATGGGAACTGCATAACGGCATTTCCTAGATCCTATTCTTCCAACTTCCGTTAAATCTCGGGGGTGGGTGGGGGGTGGCACTATCTTGTCATACTTCTCTCTCAGACAAGTTGAATCTTGTAGATTCATGTGGCTTAAGATATACTAGTATCTTCTTTTACTAGTTATCTATCACATACCATCGATTATGATAAGATCTTTATCATAAATGAGTTGCGACCCCTTAACTTACAGGTAAGATCTTTACCCGTACAGAGTCTTAAATCACTCATGCTAGCCTAGTCTAGACTGTGCGCATGGATTTTCAAACTAATACTTTTCCGTAGTAAAAGTTATCACCAAGTCAACGTGATAAAGGGTGAGATTTCCAACTCAGCGCCTTTGTGGAACCGTTAGTTGTTGTGCTACAATGAGTGGCCCAAACTGGTGAATGCCAGAGACGTCTTCGGTGGCTATGTCTCAGATGTAGTGATTGGCAAACACTGTATCCGACTTCCAGAAGCAGACTTTATAATTGATGATATAGAGCAATTTCCATGCAGAGCCAGTGTTGACGCCAGTGCTCTGACTTCATGTGGGTTGGAAGCTCTTGGAGGTTCTAGTCCTGCTGCTTTGTAGGCTCTTAGTATAACGGTTCTCATCCCAAAAAATATTGTTGTTCTTAAGACTTCCACTGATGTCTCCGTCGACAGGGGATGAATAGGCGCTTGAATTTTCGTCTCCTTGTTTTAGTCTTTTGAAGGTATATCTTCAAGGCTCTGATAGGACACAAGGATAAGTCCTGGGTGTCCTCTGAATCTAGGATCGTGGATAGCACTGGTACATGGAACTGTCTATCTGGTTGACCAGGTAGTTGATTCTTTGCAATAAAGTCCTATCTAAGTCTTAGATGAACTGCAGCACGGTGCCCCGTGTCGAATCTAGTTCGTCCAAAGTCCAGCGCATGTATCTCAGACATTCGAACTGCCGTGGCTAGGGCAAGTAGGAACAGAGTCTTCTGTGTGAGTCTCTTGAACGTAGTCTGTTCTAGAGGTTCGTAGGCATCACTCATGAGATGACGTAGAACTACATTTAGATCCCAGGCTGGTACTCTGAATTTCTTTTGCTGGTCCTCCAGTTTAAAAGATCGCAGCAGAGCAAGTAGTTCTGGTACTTTCGTCAACTTGATGCCTGACTTCATAGTGACGACTGTACTGATGGCTGCCAGATATGTGAATAATGTCAAACCTTTCAGATGTCTTGTATATCTAAGGTGACATAGATATTCCGCCATTTGAGGATGAGTAGCTTTCATAGCTGTGAAGCCTTTCTGCCTTGCATATTGTTCAAACTTCTGCCATTTGTCTACAAGTTGCGAGTAGATCTGCGTAACGCTAAGGTTACTGCTTTCGCTGCTCTGGCGGAATAACCTTCTTTTCTTCAGACAGGTTTTGATACGGTCCACACATGTAGCTGGAACAGTGTTGGGTTCCTGTGGACTTCTTTGGTGTGCGGATGTCTGAGTAGGTTCGGCCATTCTGGTAGTTTGGGGGTTGGACTTCCGAGGTCTTCTATTAGGTCTAGGAACCATACTCTCGCTGGCCAATAGGGCGTGATCAGAGTCAATTGTAGCACCTCTGTCTGTTTGATCTTCAACAGTACTTTCGGTAGTAATATTGTGGGTGGAAACGCGTATGCGTTTAGTCCTTCCCATGATGTGCTCAATGCATCTGTTGCCCAGGCTTGGGGATCTGGTACTGGTGAGACAAAAGTCTGTAGTTGTTTGTTGAACCTCATGGTGAACAGGTCTATGCATGGGGATCCTATTTCCCTTATGATGAGCCGGAATGCTTCTGTATGCAGCATCCATTCCGTGGGTGACGGATGAAGTGGTCGGGAAAGAGCGTCTGCTAGTACGTTCTTGGCTCCCGGTATGTGACACGCCTTTAACCAGATGTTTGCATCCTCCATGATGTTGAACAACTGGAATGTGAGCTGAAGTAGGCTTGGCGATCTTGTTGATCCTTGCCGATTTATGGAGAATGCCAATGTAGAGTTGTCCGTGTGGACCATCAGCATTCTGTTGTTCAGCGAGCTCGACCATAGTTGTACGGCGTTGATCGCAGCTTTCATTTCCATCAGATTCATGTAAAGATGCTGTTCTGTTTTCGACCATTTCCCTGATGCAACTTGGTTGTTGAGATGCGCACCCCATCCCTGTAGTGATGCATCTACGTAAAGATGTGTGTTGAAGGCCGGCTCTTGTAAATAGGTCCCTCTCGCAAACATTCGACCTGTGAGTCCACCAAAGCAGGTACGTTTTGAGGTTGTCTGGTAGCGAGATAGGGTCGACGCTGTCCAGATGTTTTGCCAGGAATCGTTGCAACGGACGTATTTGTAATCTTCCTGTGCGAGTCAAGTCCTGCGCTGAGGTTAGTAGACCGAGTGGGCATTGCCATGTTCGTAGTTTTAACGGAGAGATGACTGCTTGAGGAATCATGGCTTGTATCTTGACCAAACGATCTTCTGGGACCACAATCCGATTCTGTGTTGTGATAAATCTTATCCCGAGAAATTGAAGATCTTCTTTTGGTTCCAACTCTGACTTCATCAGGTTCACTAGCCATCCTAGTTGTGTGAGCAACTTGATTGTGAAGTTCAGCTGATGTCTGAGTTGATTGGCATTTTGATGAACCTGTATGCCGTCGTCCAGGTAAAAGGCACTGCTTAGACCTCGATGATGTAGGTAGGCGACTATGGGCTTGGTTATTTGTGTGAATAACCACGGAGCCGACGATATTTCAAACGGTAGGATGTTCCATTGGAAGTGCTGACCTCTGAATAGGAATCGTAGATATTTTCTTGATCGGATGTATTGGGATGTGCAGATATGCATCCTGAAGGTCTATGCTGGCCATATAATCTGCTGGATGGACGAGTAGTCTGAGTTGAGGTAGGTGGATCATTCTGAACCTTTCTGGTTTGAGTAGATAGTCTTGGTTGAATTTTTCGCATGTTGTAAATCAACCTGAATTTTCTTGGGTCTAGGAAAATTGGTAGAACTTCTGTGAGTGGATGCATTCTTCTTGTAGTTTGGCTTCTTGTAGTTTGTCTGCTTGCTCGTCTGCATAGTCGAAGACCATCGGTCTGAGGGTTAACGGTGGTGTGGCCTCTGTACCCTTCTCACATTACTTGTGAGACGAGGTCGTCCTCCATTATTCCCCAATTTTCCGACGAAAAGAGCTTTTCCTGCCTCTGAGGCTGGAGTATTTCTTCTCCTTAGCCTTCTGGATACCGGAATATTTCGACTTGCTGTTGTACTGCTGTGAAGTATGATGAATGACGTTGGCGAGAGTATCTATAGACTTGATCATCATAACTTCCCTTGAATCGTGAATAGCTTCCTTAGCTGCTTCATCTATCTCGCCTCCGAAGATAATGGGCGCCGCCCAAGGAGGTCTAAGTAGCCGTTGGGTAAATCTGTTGCTCCAGGAACATGATGCAAGTAGACCCTGTCTCCATATCAAGGTGAGACCCGCCGACGCTGAGGTCAAATGGTCCGATACAGAGTATTGGTCCTTCTTCTGAGTAAGCAGAGCCGATAGTATCATCTTCTTCTGAACTGGGGTTCTGGAACTTGTTAATCAATGCCTCATTGATTGCTCGGGATCTCGCTTGTCCGAAGAAGGATCTTCTTGTCGCGGTATCAAGTTGGGCCAACTTTTTGTCCTCCACCTTGTAGATCTTGTTCCGAGAGTCGTTGACTAACTTCGAATTCATATTCTCATCTAAGTCCGGCGCTCTCATAAAGGGGTCCATATGATGTAATGGGAATTTCCTCACATTAAATGATGGCAGATGCTGATTCTGGAATCTAGTAGCTTTCTCAAAAGCCGAGCGTAGGTTCGAAGGCACCTTGGATATAGGCTCAATAGGAGGGATCATCACCGAGTCGAAGTCATCCTTGCACATCTTATATGTATAAGCTTCATCCAATTCCTTGGAGGGAGACTCTAAGTTCAGTTCATTAGCTATCCAAGCTGTAACCTCCGCTTCTGAGAAGACGTAATCGCTGTGTTCATCAGATAATCGCTGAGAAGCCTTCACTAATCCTCCGTGATCCATCCCTTCGCTTAACTCCTGTCTCGAACTCCTGTCTCGTGAACGTTGCCTTCGTGAACTTCCTTCATCCTTCGAACCTTGCCTTTCTCATGAACCTTCTGAACTTCCTCTCTTTCGCGGGAATGTTCTCTCCGAGCGTCTGTGAGGGCTATGGGATCTAGATCTGGAATGGCTGGATCTCGGGAGGCTTGAGGGTTCGCAGACATAGTTCTAGTAGAGTTAGTGGTCTTCGCTAACCTTCCGCCTTCCTCCATGATGACAAGAGTCGCCAGATGATCGCCAACGTTGTCTTCAGATGCACGAAGAGGTCTGAGGGTTTGGCGAATGTTGATGGTTGATGTGAGGTTACATTACGATGAAAATATGTCACAAAACCAAACAATTTCTTCAAATTTTAAAAAAATAATACATGTTAGTTATAGCCAAATACCATACACAGCGTAATTTCGATAAATAGGATCTAAATATAAAGGATATATGCAGTATACGGGACTCCAGTACTCGCACAACCATCCACTTGGGCGAAAAGGGAGAGAGTGACAAGTAAGGCTGGTCACATGACTGTTTGCGCGTGAAAAGGGAGGTAACTCGTGGGTGTACTTTTATGTCCGCTTTAGGGAACTACAAAGGATTCAAGTGTTCCACTAACATTCGCATAGAAGAGGGAGATAAGCAACGATCATGAGTCAGGATAAGGAAAAATCAGTAAATTTGTTAAGATGGTCATCAAATTAACACCGAAAGGCTGGCAGACCCACAGTAACATGTGACCACATAATCAAGTCGCAATGGATTCCCTTGTTTCTTTCACAAGTCAGCAACACAATATCTTGATCAAATGTATTTTAGGACACAGACTATTAATAGAGAAAAAACTGTACCACCTCTATTTCTTCTCCAGGAGCAAAGAATTGTTTATCCAGAGTAAGAACAGAAATACAGAAACAAGTGAGCTTAACAAAGAGTTTAAATTGTGCAAAGAAATGACTTAATCTTCAATCTCAAATGCTTTTCTCACCTTTCCAGTCGTTGTGTTGATAAGTTTAGCTGTCATGTCGGTGGAGCCGCTCATTAGAAGGGAGTTATCCTTGCTGCTGTGTAGTGACACCACAGACGAATTGTGGCCATCGTTACCTGCAACACATCATCATGCATGCATGAACTTCTCACAACCTTATCAAAACAGCATCATGATGTACACTGAGAAACTACTCATGATAATAACATGTCCTCTCCGATGACCCCTCTTAAAATTAATGCTTGAAGTAAATGTTATTTAGTAACTCACCACAACAACTTGATTTCTGCTGTCATAGACATGATACCAACATGCAAGAACAGAGATATGTCATATACAGAGAAAGGGTCATAACTCTGTTGGTCAAGTCTTAGTTCAGACAAAGCTCCACACAGGGTGTGTGTTTACATAAAAAAGGTCCCAAGCATAACGTTTTTACATAAAACCAGAGGTCTCCTTCTATCTTAATAATGACATGGTATAAAGTGTAAGTCTGATTTCAGACTATTTAAGAACACAGCTCTTTTAATAATGATCCAAGAGGTCTAAAATTTCTTAAATTGATATATATTTCCAACCATTAACCCATACCACTACTTTCTAAAAGTTTGACCCTTTTGACTTAAGTCTATAGCCCTTTGACTTTGACTTTTTAATTTTGGCCCTTTTGACTTTTTTAATTTTGGCCCTTTTGTCCTTTGGCCCTTTTGACCTGTTCCCCTATCACTACTAAGGACACCTGGAATATTGCTAAAAAGGGCATTAAACTATTTCACTCATATAGTATCAAGAAAGGGCTTGTCTGGGTGTGTGTTTACACTACAGTAACATATTCATCATAGATTCCAAGTAACACTTAGTCACACATGATGGCAGTGCTGATACTTGTAGTTCAGTCAGCGCAGTGGAACAATACACATGATCAGCATTTTATCTGGTATTGATATGCCAATTGTCTCAATCTTGCTGACTGTTGAACTTTGGTGAAGAAACTATGACATAATTTAAACATAACAGATCCACGATCATTATTCAATAGTTCCTCTGAGGCTTTACCTGTGATAGTGTGCTGACAGTCTCCTGTCTTCAGATCCCATATCTTGATTACTCCATCTTCATATCCCACACCTGCTCGTTTACCTAAATATACATAAAAAAACTATAATGGAAACTAATTCATAGTGTAACAGCACCTTTTGGCCAGTCCATGCATACATTTGCCCATTTTTTGCAGAAATGAAATACAAAATATTTTTACTATGAAATTTGGTGACATACTAATATCAGACACAGTAAGGACATTTAAAACCGACAATTTATAATGTATTACCTGTTTTTCCAACATCATTCTAAATCAAGAAACATAAAACATTTATTCACTTTTGAGACCTTCTTGCAATCATAAAGCTGTATTACCTTATACAAACAATCATCAATTTTTTTTACTTTGTCTTGATATTAAGAGAAACTTGTGCAGCCAAACTATTTAAAGTAACTGCAGCAAGTTGTTCCATCTCACCATCTGGCATGACCACTCCACTGAGAGCTCCCGGACCATGGCTGCTGAATGTCTTGCAGTCGCCACCTGGTATCTTCCACATCCACACCTGCCCATCCACGGTGCCCACCAGGAGGACGTGGGCGTCATGGTGCCACTGCAACCACTGCAGACACAACCACAACCTTAATTGGAATGGAAATGAATACACTCGCCATGGAACAACTGACAGCTTGGCAACATGGGTACAGATCATTTGGGGAGGGTTATAGACGTGGATGGTGTATTTTGTGGGCAGATTTAGATACAGAAATCCAAATAGAGAGTATATTGGAGTGGGGAGAGGAAAGTTGAAAACACATATAGTGATTCTATCTACAAACCATTTCACTGGAGAAGACATGATGACAGAATTCACAAATTTAATGATTTATGTCTTGCCTTGTTGACCCGTGAAGATCCGGGTAGAATTGATCTTCAGTAACCCATGCTTGTCGTAAGAGGCGAGTAACGGGATCGGATGACCAGGCTCACTGCTTTGTTGACACATGTCGTCGTATCCCAATTGCACAGATCGATGCTAATGCTGTTGATCATTGGATTGTCTGGTCCGGATTTGATTATTTACAGGCTGCCGCCATATAGCTGGAATATTGCTGAGTGCGGCGTAAAACTAAAATCACTCACTCACCCTTGTCTTGTTTGTGTTGCTTCATAGTTAAACATTACGAACAGTATTCAGTGGGATGATACAGAAACTGTTTAGTATTTTGATCTGACGTGTAATAGACTGTTCAGTGTTTTGATTTGTCCTGTTGTACATAATGTATGACCTTCACATTGTGTCCTTGACATTGTGGTGGTCCACACCTCACTGCCACATATTGTATGACCATAACATTGTGTGAGAACGACTTACTTCCACGTCTCCTGCCTCAAATGACCACACCTCCTCCTTAGATTCCACCTTCCACACCTTGATCAGCCCACTAAGATCTGCAGTTGCCACATACACGCTGTCATGACTCCAGCCCACACTAGTGACAGAATCCTTGTGTCCTGGTGACAATACAACAATATATTCATCCAACAGCTGTATGGAAGGCAATCCAACGTGTACAAAAGAATCATCAAGAACAAAAAGTGAAAAAATTATTAATTTTTTTATCACTTTATTTCTTTTGATCTGGGTACATCATGCACATTTAACAAGTCAGCATATTTGTTGCATTATATAGGAGTCAAATTACAAAGTCATTATCTATGTAAATAGATTGTGGCAAGACGACCAAAATGAAAGAGAAAAACAATCTTGACAAATTCAGTCAACTTCTACAGTATGTAAGTTGGGATTAGTCAGAAGGTCAAAGGGGGCGTTCGGGTAGCCTAGTGGTTAAAGCATTGGCTTGCACGCCGAAGACCCGGGTTCGAATCCCCACATGGTTACATTGTGTGAAGCCCATTTATGGTGTCCCCCGCCGTGATGTTGCTGGAATATTGCTAAAAGCGGCGTAAAACCAAACTCAGTCAGTCAGTCAGTCAGAAGGTCAAAATGTGATCATGATGTCCTGATTATCTGTTCACTTCATTCTTCTTGTATCTTTTAACAGGGATGAATCCAGGGATTGTATATTGTGTACATAAATTTATAACTATCATTTTAATTTTATTCATATTTCAGGCGATCCAACAGATGACTTTTTCATACATTATATAAGTTGCAATTAGTTGTCAGTTCATCTGCATCTGTCTTGGCCTTAACTGTTCAGTTCTGTATCACAGGGCTGGTTCACTGTGTATTTGGTTAGGTCCCGTAAGACCGACCTTTGGATGGGTGTAAAAACAAACTGGTTGGTTTGCAGGGGTATGTCGTCAAGGTCAACTAGTTCTAGACAATGGGCAGTCAATGTTTTCACAACGGTACAGTTAATGCTAAACTGTTCACCGGAAAATAACTAAACAAGGATCACGCTGTAAAATGTCATTTTCAATGGGACAGTAATTTCTAGTATCTACATTATCTACTTTATATTAGGCAATGAGGAATATACAATATATCCTAAACCAAAAGTCACCGTGTTTTTTAATCTGATTGGTTGAAAAACATGATCGAATGGTATTTGATTCCTGGAAATTGCAAGACTATTCACTTAGGAGATAAACAACTTGTTGGAACCGATGAATTCCCATGCTTCAAATACTCAATAACACCCGGAAATTGGCCAACACATGATGTTTATCTCCTAATTCAAGATTGATTTTGCGTTTACTTTTTTTTTTAGCTTTTTAATAATAATCAGTATTTTGGTACAGTTGAAAAGATTTATTTTGACAGCGTAGTATAGAGATCCGTGGTTGTGGTCTCGAGGTATTTTAGAAATTATGTCGTTGAGACAGTTGAGGCTGTTGATCTGCAGTCTTTCTGAATGCATCTTCACGAGATCCCTTCTCCCCGTTTTCTCTTGTTCACAATGCACACGTAACCATTTATACATAGCCCTCGGTATCTTCCACCACGAGAAGTAGGAAGAAAGTAGTCTAATGTGTATTTGCCATAACTGAAGTTGTGCAAATAATTATAATTACCAAAATTCTCATAGCATGCAAGTGTATGTAAGAAACTGAATAACTCACTACTAATGAACTGAGTGAACTATATGTTTATATTATTAATGTGTCTTAATCCTTAAAACAACAACGATTATCACAACATGGAAACACTCACATAAGTATTTTACACATTTTACATTTTGTAGAAAAAGGTTGAATCCCTTAAAACAACAACGGGACTACCGGTGTATTTTTAAGGTTGAACTTACGGGACTACCCGGTGTATTTAAGGGTATTTGGATCGATCCATTTATCATTGCCTTTGGTATTTTAACAGACAGACAGACAGAGAAGTTTATTTCTCAACCATCCAACGGTGGTACATGAGAATATATAAATACATAGGTAAACAAATATATACATGGCAAGTGGCTGGACATGATCATTTGAATATTACTTAGTAAGCGATTTATACAATACATTCAGAAATGACTTTAAGTTCTTTAGATGTTTAGTAGTTTTATTACATAATAATTTCTTTAACATTGAATGTTTTTGGAGATCACACATATATGTCGCGAGATAGGTATTTCGCTGTTGGAGAAGGGTTTCACATCTAAAGAGATAGTGAAACTCATCCCCAACAACGTTAGCGTTACACAGCTTACATATTCTTTCCTCTTTCCTTCTACCTATGAATAGAATGCCATCGGTAGGTTTCAATTGGTAGGTTATTGTTGCAAGGACCTTTTAGGACCAGCTATGTTGTAAAAACTGATCTTTTAGTGACATTGTGGGGGTTTGAGAAAACCTCTGATAAACCGCAGGTATTAAGTATTCTTGTAACAAAAGATATCCATCGGAGTTGACAACCAAAGTTATTAACAGAGATAAAAGTATACATCAGTGAGGAGAGTTTACAGTATTGGTTATTTGTTGCTACTTTATGCCAAAAAGAAATAACTCGTTTGTATAATTTGATGTAGAGCGGTTCTCGGTCAAACTCGCCATACACCATAAAGTTTGGAGTGGAGCTTCGAAGGCCAACAGCAAATTTAACAAATCTGAGATGTACCTTTTCTATAATGTTCAGGTTTTCAAATCCCCATACTTCACATCCATGAAGGAGAATCGGACAATAGCCCAGATCCAGCTTCTCATTTGATTGGTTTAACTTCAAACATACTTCTCACCGCCATGTTACTACTAATCAGTTGCACAACACTGTCTCTCAAGACGACTGGTTAGAAATTTAAGTTTTGGTTAAAGGTTATAATTACATTTGTAATTGTTATATACATAGCAAATAGCAAATTAAACGCTAATAAAAATAACAGTATAACATAGGCATAAATATGTTCAAGATAGATGAAATGTAAATATTTATATACCGAAGATTTCTGCCTGCAACCCCTGTTTTTTATCACTCCTTGCCTAAGAATAGATGGGTTTTTTTATAGAAAGCCTACCCTAACTCTAACATAATGCTTAATCTAAACCCTACAGAATAAAAGATATTACACTCAAAACCTGTAGCCTGTGGTTAATAATGGACAGTAACACCAATATTTCATGACCGCAACATCTTATTTGTATGGTCTTTATTTATCTTATATAATGTATATCCAGCGTGTTCGATTTGCAAACATAGTAACTAATGTAAACGTTGTAGCTTATCTTGCAAAATTCCTTACCTGTACATTCAAACACGACCTGGCCTGTTTCGATGTCCCACACTAAAGCCTTGTCATCTTGTCCTCCAGTCACAGCCAGTGTACAAGTTATAGGGTCAACTCTCACACAGAACACAGAATCTGCAAGAAATCCAGATCAATAATTTAATGTCAGTAAAATGTAGTATTCTGTAGTGTTGAATTGACCAACTAATAAATACTTCTTAAAGGGTAAGCAATCACAAGAATGATTACCAACAAAGCAAGATAAGTACTTCTATAAAAACAAGGCAAAAATAAATCCTCTTGGATTTGAACTGCTGAACAATCGCAAGCATAACAGGGCTAAGGGAGGCTTTTTTTGTGTGAGGGTTCTTCACACTCCATTATGTCAAAGTTAAATTATGGATATTACAGAAACAAGGCATAGGATACTGACCTTTGTGCTCCTTGAAAACAACACCAGCATCATCAACATCAGCAACTATACCAGTGGCAGCTGCGCTCTCTCCATCCACCTCCATTCCATCATTGTCTTCATCTGGTAAAATATTTCAACTTATTAATATTATGCAAGCATTGTGTACAATACTATGTGACACATTTGGAACACGCTCATGGTGACACGTGTGTTTTCACTGTGTGAACAAAGAACTGATCCCCATGAATATGGGTGCCAGTCAAATCGCCCCAGCTACAAAACGCCCCAGCCAATTTGGTCAAAATGCCCCAGATTTTTGGTCAAATCGCCCCAGGTTTGGTCAAATTGCTCCAGGGGGGTAGTCTGGGTAAATTGGTTAAATATATGCCACAAATGCATAGTTTTTGTCAACTTCCATATTATATTCTATCTATAATATTATATAGTAATATTACTGATAAATTTTCTATTAGAAAACTGATAAGACCAAAAGTAATATTCATGTAGACAACACTGTAATACCAATTATTTGTGGTAAAGAAGTACAAGAGTAAAATGAAAGATTTGTATAATATGTTTATTGGCTGTAAATAGTCTTTGGTCAACAAATGGCATTATGTAATCACAACAAGTATGGTATCATATTTATTATTTAAACATATTTATTTCCAAAGAAAGGAACCGGATTGGTAAACAAGCATAAGCTTATATGAATACCGCTCTGGGATACAATGGAAGGAAGAATAAACTCGTCATAGCGAATGTACAATGTGAATGATATATAAATGTTGCAAAAACGAGAAATAACGCCAATCATTGTTAAACGGTATATGTCATATAAACAAAATATTTTGGATCAAATCTGCCTGTTAAATTTATAAAAGAGTGCACTGAAATTAAAAGTTCATTGTTTACTATTGAGGAGCAGCATTGGTTTCCAAACAAAATTGATTTTAGGTCACCACCCAATTTTAATATATTTGATGAAAACTTTGGTACACGTTTCTGCCAAATTATCCACTCACGCCTCAGACTTGGGTGCAGTAATTTGAAAGCACATGTTTGAACGGCACATTTCAATTGATCCATTCTGTTCCTGTGGTCACCCCTATGAGGATACTTTACATTACTTCTTTACTTGTCCTAATTATTCTAACATCAGACATCGCATGTATTTTTACGAACATGGATATAATTTAAATTCTGTCCTAAATGGTAATCCAAACAAAAATGTACTTGTAAATTCTTTCATACTACAATCTGTCCATACTTTTATAATAAAATCGCATAGGTTTGATAAATGATTAATAATGTTTAATACGCAGGTTGCCTGCTTTCCTATCATGCTGCATATTATTTAATATTTGTTTTATTCATGTATCAATGAAATGGAGAGGTATTCAAATAAGCCATTACGGCTTGTTTACCAATCCTAGTTCAATATATTTTGAATAAAATATGTTTACACTATTTTAGGTCAAATCCTTTAGTATAAAAATACATAATTTGACGTATATCATTGTAAAGAGTACATGAAAAGAAATAGTGAGCAGAGTCTTCATAGTTATGGCCACAAGAGCAAGATGATGTCAGAGATATAAATCTTTCATATTTGTGCGCATTAAGGTCACTACATTCAAGTTGGAGACGAGAATGTATGATTAGACAAAATCTGCTACAGAAATTTAAGTCAAAATGACTGTAGATATTACAATCGTTCAATAGGTGATTGTCAATTAGTGAATATGTTTTTATAGCCTGAAATGCTCATACATTTGAGCCTCAACATTTCCTTTAACTAGCATTGAATGTCAATTAGTGAACATGTTTTAATAGCCTGTTTTTATCCACACTGTTTGACAAGATTAATTAACAAAAGCTCTAGATTGTTTTGATAAGTATTGTACCATACTTGCTGACAAAAACTATGCATTTATGGCCAATAAACATTTTATACAAACATTTCATTTTATTCTTGTAATTCTTTGCAAAAGCATTAATAACATGCAAATAATTGGTATTATAGTGTTGTTTATACATGAATATAATACTTTCGCTCTTATCAGTTTACTAATAGAAAATCTATCAGAAATATTACTATATAATATTATATTTAACCAATTTAAATACATTGGGGCATTTTGACTACTCCCCTGGGGCAATTTGACCAAACCTGGGGCGATTTGACCAAAAATCTGGGGCGTTTTGTAGCTGGGGCGATTTGACTGGCACCCATGAATATAACCATCATAGCAAAATGTTACTTATTTTTAAGTGAAACTTGTTCTTTAGCAGCATGATCACACTATCATGACCATGATGACGAAGGAAATTGTGAATATAATGTTAGTATTATTTGGTCAGCATCATCGTGAGTACAGTTGTGGATGAAAGGTACATGAAAATATTTAAATTAACATCTGACTGAGAATCAATAGTCTTAAAAAAATCCAAGAAAGTTGTATTCTGCACCATGTTTATTTTCGACTTTTAGTCAAAACGTCCTGCCCATCCCTAATGATGAAGCTATTTTGACATCTTGATGTCTGGTGAATATTCTTTTTGGTTTTGATACATGTCATGTCCGAACATCCAAACTAACGCTACTTACCAAATTTCCTGTTCGGGATATTACCTAACAACAAAAGTACGACGGAAAATGTTTGGTATGTATTTTTTTTAAAAATAACACCATCTCGAAAATTGAACAAACCGTCTGAATCTGGGTGAGGATCATCATCATCCAGATCAATTACTTTGACAACATCTTCAAGATTTAAGGCAAAGCTTTCAAAATCCTCTTCGTCAATCTCGTCAATATTCCGGTTACTCATTGCACTGGTTTGTGTATTTTACGATATATTATGGCGATTCATTTCCTCCTGACATGTGTTATGATTGAATACTTCCGGTTCACGAAAATGTAACCTCACTGGCAGAAGAACGCTTCCGGAACTTTGCAAGGCATGTTGATATCGCAGCAGTACACAACAACGTCAGAACCTTGCGTCGGGCTTTACCATGCGTTTTAGTAAAGTGTCGAAAATATACGTTGGATGGTATGTTTGGTGAAAGCTAACATTTCTTGTTTCATTATTGAAATCAGATCTCTATACTGTAATGTAAAATCCGGCGAGTCAATAAGGGAGATAACTGTGTGAAATGATAGAATACTTGTATCAAAGTTCTAAGTTTCAACATCAACGATTAATGTTCAACACATTTGACAGTGGAAACAAACTGGAGACTTTGAGTACTTCTATGTAAAGAATGAACCAGGAAATGACATCTTCGTTTTAGATTCAGCACACTCTAATATTATGTTTGACCTTCAAATCATATGAGCGTGCACTAGCACTGCTATCTTTGGTCTCAAAGTGTGTGAATGAAATTTTTGAACTGCAAATTTGAAAGTATTTCTGTTATCCCCCTGGATGCCACAGGGACATATATGTCCTTCCCCTTCAACCCTCAATTTGAAGTCGAATAAAAATCAAAATATCCCACACACACAAATACACTTCACAGTTTCGAATTCTGCGGGAAATTCCCTGTTTCTTGATACCATCCACTATTATTTTAAACAAAGCTCAAGTGCTGAAAATGACCTTACAAAATAGGCTTCATCGAAAATGGCGAGATTTTTGACACAGTATGAAATCGCGATTCACAGCGTTATTTGCTGTATGTTTTGAAATGTGAAAATCGGATAATTACTGTGAGTATTGAATTTCAAAATAACATATTTATGATCACTGATATCAGTTTTACATGATTTCGCTAATTATAATTCTGAAATGTTGCCGATGAATCTAGAATCGGTTGGGATGTTTTCGAAAATGCACTTACACGAACACCGTGAGCTTTCCGCCATATTGGAAAGTGTTTACAAAATCCGCACGCCTTGCGAAGGCCGGGTATTGAGACGCCTATTACATCCGTATATTTCATATTCAGCTTCGGAAAAATGCATCACTGAATTCCCCATACATTTTAGAATCAATTTGAAACTGGTCTGTGTGTCACCAATAATAACTGTCTAGATAAAATTAGACGAAACATATTGGTGTGAAAACTAACGCTGTGCTTGAAAGACTGCGTTTGTGTGAAATGTAAACAAAGACAAATTCCGATTTTACACTGTGCAGCATTTTCTGATTTTTTTCAACATTCATCCGTCTATTCATTGCTTGAAATGGCTCAATACCTTTAGAATATACATGGAAAGAGTATCGTAGCAAGAAATAGGAAATTATAAATAGATACAATGCAATGATTTGATAATTCATAAGAAATTGTCAAAGTTTTCGTGAAGCGTGACGCCATGACTGACGCAAAATCATGCATAACGACAACGGTAATTATCTGCATTTCTGTCCTTTTCTCTTACGTATAGTGAAAACGATAAAAACATATAACAATACACAGATAGTCAGAATCATTCTGATTACTTACATCTCATATTTATGTACAAACGATCCCTGAATCAGTGGAAGGGTCCTCAAGAAAATCCTGTGTACCCTTGTCAGCAGCAAAGCCATTTTGTAAGAAATCGGTCAGCGGTAGTGATGTCATCACGTCAACATTGTTGTACATATTAGGCAATTTCTTTGAGGTGAAGGTCGGTTGAACAAGAGTAAACACAATCGCCATATCCTTCCGACACACTGTCAGTATTATGATGTATATTTTTCTTGGATAGTTCGGATACTTTTCATGAAACTGACTTCAGTATCTCATTTAGCCTTGTTCAATATCATATCATACATGCATATAGGGTTTACGGTGTTTTATTCTTTTGAAAGTTTTGATTGTTTGAATCATATTTACATAAGAAATTGACATATTTATTGCAATACACCATATTTTAAACCTTTACACAAGTGTTAGAAGATCAAACGTAGCCATAACTGCAATTACTTTAGTTCCTATGATGTACAATATTCAATTTATTTGGACTAATATTGCAATTTCATATGAACAGGTTAATGAACGGTGATATAATTCAACCTTATATGCAAAACTGATAATATTAATGACAATAATTTATAGATGGTATGAAATGTACATGCACACATATTTAAAGGAATTGTCTTGTTCATTGCATAATTTTGTGTCGCTTTATAGACAAAAGAATGATGCATATAGATCTGCAAGGAGTCTGGCGTTTGTTGGCAACGCTTTTATGAATCTCTATCATTGTTTTCGATAATATATTCAATTCATATTCGATTAAATAATATTGTGATGACAGGATATCAAACTCTAACTACTTATAGGAAAATTGTTGAAAAATATATATACCATCTCATGTGTTAATTCGACAAATCTTATATCCATATTCTAATATATAGTTCCATATATAAAAGCTATCTTTATGCATCTTTCATTGCATACGCATGAAGAGAAATAGCTTCATAATCTTAAACAAACAAAATTCTTATCCCAAACAAAATATTCGGGTGTTGTGATATATTATCTTTTTTTACGTTAAATTGATGCCAAACAGGTGCGCGTGTTGGTCACAATAAGATACGCTGTCAAACTGTCTAATTGTTGATATATTCAGGACACTATTTAAATGGAAAAATCAGTCATTTTATGTTTTGTCTAAAGAGTGTTAAATTCTGACATAGAAGTCTAGACCTTTTACACAATGAATGGATATTAAGTGAGATATATACTAATCAGCATACCAATGTCGTCGTTTTCCAACGTCGCAAAATGCATAAAACAAGCGATGACGTCAACTAAAATGTTGTGTTATTTTCAGCAATTTCGTTACATTTGGAGATATGGCTAGTACTCTGGTAATAACGATGCAAAATTAGTCAAATTACATCTACACAAACAGGAGAATATGGGAATCTAAGAACTAACTTATATATCGGATAGGGCCATTCAAATCGCTATTACGTGCTTTCACATGTAATACGTTGTGATCTTTTCTTATAAATTGTGAAACTACCAAAGCGCATCCGTTCACATTGGGGAACTTTGAATTGGAATAGTGAGGTTCACCATGAATATAAAATAACGAAAATATAGCGTCCGTATCCACAACACATTTTCTCCAAGTGATCTGAGTTACATTGACCTAGTGTTAGGCATAGCGGAGTTATGCCCCCTTATAATTATACGTTTATGACCTCTCTTTCGTCGTTTGACGTCATAGAAGAAAATACATTTTTGACATTTATTGCAGTCATTTTTAATGTTGAGCGATAACGCTATGCACAAGCACATTAACCCAATTCATATACACTTATGTCGTTCAGATATCAGGTTGTATTTTCTTAGCTCACACTTTCCGTAAAGATGCCCCATTAAAATTTCAGTAGCACAGCTTTATCGGTCTTGTGAAGAAAAAGTGGAGAAATTTACTGTTTTTAACGCATAACAAAAATTTGGACAACATTTAGCAAGGTCTATTTCTCAAACCGCCAAGGTAGTTGGACTTATATTTATACCAACGGATAGGAAATTTAATATTCTACATTTCTGTGTAATTTTATAGCCTTACATAGATCCAGGACCGCGTGAGAGCAATTCTCGCACAACGTTCACTTTTCAAACTGTATGAAAATGTGCGCCTGAAAAAAAACTCGGCAGCCAGGGGGTTATACCACAAAATTTCAGCTTAATGTGAGAGGCATGTGTTTGACATAAACCATAAGACCTTTTTTTAATTACTTGGTTTAGAATTTTTTATTTGGTCGGAGGAGCAAAAACAAGAAGGAATATGGAGATGTTATTTGCACAATTGAGTATATCATATATGCCAGATGCAGCATGCCAGCTGAGCAGCCTGTGGCATTACCTTTCTCTCTGTTCCACTCTGTTTCAAGGAATATTTGAAAGGTATAATTTGCTGTTTTTTGTTTCTTTCTTCTTTTTTTAAAAACTTTTTTATCAATTTGGCAACATATATACTGGGACTCTATATTATCGCGGCACACGAAAACTATCGGGAAAGCAGAAACACCACGCCCCGCATCGACTGTTTACATATGCAAATTACGTAAAATATATTCCTCGCTCTTGAAAAAGTCATTTATTTCATTGGAATGTGATGTCTAATCGTAGAAATATTAAAGCATTCATCTTTTCAGTAAATTCTAGAACATTTTGAAACTAGTATGACCCCTACTGCCATTACATCTAGCATGAATCAAAACTTACTTCGTCAAGAGTAATCCTGTGACAACTATAAGAGAGTAATCCTGCGACAACTATAAGGTCATTTGCATATTTTCCGTGCTAAAAATATAACAGGAAGTGACGTATTATGCAACTTCACTCTACACATGGCAGCAACTTGTATGGTGCGTTTTAAGGCGGATATTTATTTTTCCTTATCCTGACTCATGCTCTTTTGCTTGTCTTCTTCTTCTTGCGAACATAGTGGAACACTTGTATCTCCTTAATTGAAGCTCCCTTCAATGTAAAATCACTAATTAGTACTCACCAAGAGTTGCCTCCCTTTGCCTCTGCGCGTGAAAAGGTGGCGCCACCCTCTGGCCTCATGCTTCACTCTCTCCTTCTTCGCCCAGTGAGCAGGATGTGTCTCCTTACACACTATATCCTTTGGTTTTTCTTAGTTAGTTACCTCCTATAGGTTACTATAGAGGTATAGCTAGTATCCTTCATTAATATGTATTGATAATTAATCGTATTTCTACTGTTTATTCACGTGAGTTCGTGATTGTTCAGCTAGTATTACGTTGATGAAAATCTGTACTATTTGTAGATTACGTTTTTCTGCTGCTGACCCGCATGTAATATGCCCTAGTTCTACGCCTTGTGCGTTTGATTCACGTTGCAGTTACTGCATTAATCTATCTAATTCTGCTTTTAATAAATATCATCTTTGCGTCTTGAGACGTGAAGCAGATAGGTCACGCAAACAAGGGTTAGACATGGCCGATACATCGGAATCCCCATCCAGTCAGCTGCTGTTGGTCGACCCCCTCCCGTCTGGTGTTCCGCTAGAGTGTCCCTCGGAGGAGGGGCGTGGGATGCAGTCCGCCGTCTCCAAGAAGCGTCCTGCCTCCCCAGA